GCAGTTGAGGAACACCAGAGGAATTATTACAGGGAAAACTTTCCGATTGACCCCAGGATATGTGCGGCAACAGTATTGCACTTTCCTTATCAGAGAACTGAGACTGATGAACCTTTAAAATTGGACGACTCTCAAAGTTCCAGTTTTGAGATGTATAAGGTGTGCTGTTTACTACCACTTTCACGTTCTTTTTTTGCTTCTCCAAATATAATGGCTTTCTGTTGAGCAAGCTATTAACTTTTGCCTCACTATGTGCAGAGTGAAGGATCTGGTGCTGATGATGTGCAGCGATATGATCCTGTTTTCGTCTTAGAATTCTCAGTTCATACTTTGTCCATTGGGTATATTGATCCTATTGAGTTTGCTGGTCTGGGCTTACTTGCAGTTGCTTTTGTCAGCATATCCTCTCCTGATGTTGGGCTGAGGAAACTGGGATATGAGACTCTTGGAAGATATAAGACTGCACTTGAGGTTTGTCTTTTTTTGTCACTTTCAGCTTCTGAACTTTGTGCTTTCCTGGGTTTACTCAGGCATGTTTTTTTGCATCTATTCTACCTGTATAATCTTAGTCATATATACTGGAAATTCGATTAGATTTTAGTTGGTTCTGTCTGTACTAATGGTTAGTGCCCATGAGACGGCCAATTATCAGGATATCTTTGTTATTGACAATCATAATTATTATTCAACCAGAATCATTTTGCCATTGTATACTCTTGGAAGATATCTTGTCTTTGCTTGAATTTTGAAAGTCTTGACTTATCCTAGTTAGGTACCCCCTGATGAGACAGGATATCTTTGTTATTGACAATCATAATTATTATTCAACCAGAATCATTTTGGGCCTGGTTCTCTTAATGCAAAATTCCTGTTCCCCCATATGACACATTAGTAATATGTCATGAGTAGGCCTAACCATGCAGCTTGGAATCATAATCACTTGGTTACCACAAGAACTCTTAAGAAATGGCCAGTTTAACTTGTATGCTCTTGATATTAACAGATAAATTTGAAGATCTGTTCTAGGTGTTCTGATATTTAGCGAGGACCATGTTTTCTCTGGTTTAATGATGCACAAAAGCGGAAATTGATAATGAGACGGCCAATTATCAGTACTTTTTGTTGCTGGTCTCATTTGTGCAATTTCTACTTTCGATTGAGTTCTTACATATAATGATTGCAGATATGCAAAAGGAAAAAGGAGACGATGGGTCTGCGCCTTTTGATGTCGTACATACAAAATGCAATAGAGGAACCTTGGCAGAGAATTCCTTCCGTTATTAGCCTCTTTGCTGCAGAATCATCTTTCATATTATTGAATTCATTGAATGATCATCATAAAACCTTAATCAGCTATTTGGAGAATTCCTCTAGGGTCGATATGAAGGTACATTCTTTCAGCATCATAGTTCCTCTTCATCCTTCTTTTCCTTTGCACATGCACCTGCTTTTTTCATGTGTTCTCATTGTTTTCTTCTAGCTTTAATTTCATTTGTCCATTCTGACATGCTGCCTATGGTTTTCTTCGGTCATTACAATTTGTTCTATTCATTTTGCAGAAGGTACCAATGGTTAGTAGTAACTCAATCCATTTCAGAGCAGAGAGGCAATGGATCCTTCGTCTCATATATGCTGGACTGAATTCAGATGAGGATGGTCAAATGTTCATATATAATTCCATTATGAAGGAATTATTGAGTTTCTACAGTTCTCCTCATTCAGATAGTGAGTCAAAGAAACTGATTCTGCTGGTAGGGCGTACAATCTTCAGCTCTTAAATATTATCGAAGATTTACAGATTGGAATAGTTTTTTCATTTTTTATTCTTGGTTTGAAGCAATGTATGTTACGTTTGCTTCACCTTGTTAACTTTTGGTGTGTTGTTCATTCACCTTTTCCCGTTCTGGGTTCTTTACATTTTCTTCTTCCAAGTGGTCTGATCAGTTCAAAGTATGGATGCATATTCTTTTGTTATAACAAGTTACATGTTTTGTAGTGTCAAAGTTTTTGGATGCCAAAATAGGAACTTGTCTTGACTTGGTAGAGACAAGAAAGTCCAACTAAAGTTCATGTTGTGTCAAGATGACACTTTGCAAGCCCCTTATTCGTCAGTTATCCATCCAAGCAGAATAACTTAAGGATATATATCATACATCATTTCTGAAAGTTACTCTGATGCTTGGCTTGTAAACATCGTTTCCTTGTTACACTGTTTCTGGTTGTTGCCATAAATCGTTGCTTCTGGTTACTAGTGAGATTTAAGCTTTCACTCTTCTGCTGCAGATTGTGAAGAAGGCTGTTAAATTGCATAAGATCACACACCATCTAGTCAAAGATTGTGGACTGCTTTCTTGGTTGTCATCTGTCCTTCCTATCTCTAGCAGGTTTCAGACTGGCTATGAAAAGAACGTGTTCTCTGAGCACTTACTGGCTATGGTAGAGGTAATGTCTGGCTTCAACTCTGATCATTTCATGAATTATATTTCCACTTGTGTCCTTCCATGAATTGTACTTCTTTATTCATAGTTTCTAATCCATTGGACTACGCTTTTCTTTTTGGTCTTGGGGGGAAAATAAGGGAGGGCCGGGGGTTGTTTTTTTTTGTAAAAGCTGACCATTTGGCTTTTTTCCGTTACATATTAAGGAGCTGTCTCCGAGGCACGAGTGCTTCAACTCATCAATTATATGTTTCAAAGAATTATTGTGAATGCAAATATTCCAGAGATTAGCACATAAGGTCTTAAACTTTTTGACATTCACAAAGAACTAAGCATCAACTTAATCGACAAATTAATTGTCTAAAATTGTTATGCTGATTCAATATTCCAGGGTGTATAATGTATATGGATTTGAATTTTCTTGGCAGTGACAAACTAAGTGTAATCAATTTTCCTTTTTTTTTTTTTGTTTTTGTTTTAGGTTACTGCCGAAATTGTTTCCTCCAGAAGTGTTGTGGAATGGTTGCAAAACTATGCACTTGAGCAGCTGATGGGACTAGCTTCTCATCTTTACAATTTTTTAGTTGGTGGATTGGAATCATTGAAGGGAGATGGCCTTTTGTTAAATTCCGTTATGGAGGTATTGGTGTCAACGTTGAAGATATCACAAGAGAGGAAAACATACCAGCCTCATTTTACCTTGTCATTTGAGGGCTTAGTTCAGGTTTATCGGGCTTACAGTCAATGTGCTATTGCGACTTCTTGTGAAGCTGCTGAATTAGGACTTCAAATGATACTTATGAGCATACCTTCTCCCGATATCTTGCTCGTGGTACACACTCCCCTCTCTCTCCCAGCGGTAGTTTTCTTAGACACTCAAAAAAGAACCTGCTAAAAGCAATGCAATTTTGGAAGGCATTGCTTTCCAATCAGTATTTCTGGATTTATTTATTTTACTTGTGTGCATTGCTTGAAAACTTAGGAATACAGAATCATGGAGTCTTCTTGTGTGTTTTCTTATACACTCAAAAGAACCTGCTAAAAGCAATGCAATTTTAGAAGGCATTGCTTTCCAATTCGTATTTCTGGATTTATTTATTTTTCTTGTGTGCATTGCTTGAAAACTTAGGAATACAGAATCATGGAATCTTCTTGTGTGCACTTTCGCAGGAAGAAGCAACTTTTTCCAGGTTTCTTATGTGGGCAATATCTGTTGCCATGGCATCCGACTCTAGGAGGCGAGAGCTTGTCTCTAAAGCATCACAGGCCAGTACCCTTACCAGACCAGAGGAGGCACAATCTGAATCTGAAGAGTGTTTTCTACTAAAACTTCAACGTTGGCTTGTTGGTGCCGTGATTCTTGGAAAACTCTCCTCGACATTCCCTGATGCGAGGGGTACATTATCTGCAAGATCAACATCAAATTTGCAGTCTTTATTGGAATATATCAGGACAGGAGGGAGGAGCAGGTGCGAACTTGGTAACTCTCGAGAGATGTTAGCTGCTTCAATACTCTACCTTCAACAGCTTCTATGCATGGACTGCTCAGCAACCCCATCAACTATATCTGCACTATGCCTTCTACTTTTCAGTGGTACCTCACAAATCTCAGGTATGTGTCCCGCTGGACATTCTGGTATCGAGATCTTTATTTAAATAAATAATGTACATTGGGAGTCGAACGTTGTTCATAGTTGTTATTGAATGTGAACCAGATACTGTATCGGCCGATGAGTCACTCATGGTATCACTCTGCTCGAAAGTTCGTGTTCCACCTGAAGCCAATCCCGCTTGGAGATGGTATGTCATTCATTCTTGACCCAATTTTACCAAGTGGTCTGGCAATTTTGGAAGTACAGCCAGTAGAAGCCTTCTCTGTATGAACCAAACATAACAAGCTCCTCTGTGTGTTATTATACTGCAACCAGGTCATACACCCAAGCATGGAAGGATGTCTCATCTGAAGAAATCGATTCGTTGATAAGGGTGGAAGAATATCATGCATGTCAGACGCTTAGCGTGATAATCGCGAATGTTGTGGGGAAGATCCCATTAGAATCACAGACTTTATCGCATCAAGACATAGAAAAGTCGGGTGTATTTGAATGGGAAAGAAGTCTAATAGAAGGCTGAAACATGATTTTGATCTGATTGTTGTGTAAAATTTTGTAGTTCAATTGTTGTCATAGGTCCCTGGAAGGATAAACTAATTTTCGATGAGATGAAATTTTGATGGCTATATAGCTTTCTCGTTTGTCGGTGTTTTAGTCCGACTTCGAGGCTAGAAACATGAAGATAGTGAAGATCATGATTCACAAGCAAGTGCGCTACGTCTTTCCACTGCTGTCATACGCAAACAATTAGTTATCTTGCAGAACAAGTCACAAACTTTTGCAGCCATCGTGTCTTTCTGCTTTTTTACGGTTAATTGACATATGCATCGCAGTTCTCATGATAAGTGGGATCAAATGATGAAGAAATGGAAACAACCAAAGCAAAGAGGCACAATGTTGTACATGGTTTCCTCGTTTGTTGTGGACGCGACTAGTTCATAGAGAGATGAAGCTCTTGAGTCTAGTTTTATTGCTTTGTTTCTGACAAGTTTGTAGCTTATAGTATAGGCAACCCTTGCTCAACATACATACAAGGGTTGCTGCAAACCTTACTCGAAGAAGAGGGAAACCTTGAAAGGGAAAATTACATGAAGGTATCTGAACTTCATAAACTGAACAATTCACCACGCCCCCCAAGTGAAAGCATGAATATCAATTATTTTGTAACTTGGAGAATCAAAATTCTTTCAGAGTTGTTGTTCCTTGTGTTGTTTCTTGGTGGGGAACCCATTCTTCTCCCAAGCTCGGTAGCCTCCACCCATATTACAAGCGTTCTTGAAACCCTGCCCAAACCAAGATAGTGATTTTCCTTCGAAAATTTTGGTTGTGATATGGAGATATATATTTTTTCATTGTTGCTTACTGCTATGTAAAGATCATTAGTTGCCAATAGAGACCTCCCACCAGTACCACAACCCTGTGACAAAATAAATAAATACTCAACCGCATGTTAGCATTGTGTTAATACTAGCTCCAGTTTGTAGAAACATTTAGTTCTGGTGAGTTTTTTTTTTCTAATTCAATGAGGTTGACCACAATTATTAAGGACTTACAAAGCGTGGGACACACTTGTCATTATTAAAAATTAGGGGATACACAATTTTGGCACCATGAATAATTTCGTTTTTCGCCCCTCAGCACAAGTATCAAGATGCATACCATAAAATACAAACCAGAAACACTACCACACTGGTCTTGAATATGGAGGTCTCAGATACAAATATCTTACATAGCACCTAACTGAAAAACAAACCTATATCACCCCCTTATACAAAAAATCACACCACAAAATTCATTAATCATACCATAAAACTTAAAACAAACCACAAGTTTTCTGAAGAAAAACATAAGTTTATTAAGCAGACCACAAGTCTATTAAAGCATACTACAAGCTCCTTGAAGCAGGCCCCAAAAACCTCATATAGCATACAACAAGTTTATTAAAACATACCACAAGTTTCTTAAAGTATACAAAATATCTTATAAAGCAGATCCCAAGTTTCACTAAAGAAGATAACAAGTTTTCTGGAGTAGATCAGAAACCACCTAAAGCAGACTAGAAACCTCATATACATGCACCTATTTGTAAATTTTAAAAATGTAGGTATCAAAATGTAAGGCATAAAAAGACTTAGTTACTAAAATATAATTTTCCATTAATATTTTTATGACTTACATGCCAAAAAGTAATTTTATGTACTAAATCTTATCTATTAAGTTTAGATATCATACCGTAAATATATATACTATAACATTCTTAATGAATTATGTCGGCATGGTGCTAACAATATCACTCTATTCGGTGTCTATCTAATATTGTCGCGCGGGTAGGTTTTCGTGTCAAATATAAGGAATTGTTAGAATTCGGACATAATATCTCTCAATAAAAAATTGCAGTGTCAAAAACCAATTAGTACAAAATAACTAGGGTCGTTTGGATGGATCAATCTAGAAATGAGTCAATTTGATCAATTGTCTCGTTTTATAAACGAGGCAATTAAAACGAGTCAATTCGAATTATCTGCTCCCACCCCAGGTAATTGAAATTGACTCAAAATGGATCAATTCAAAATACCTCAGGCAGATTGATCCATCCAAATTTTTTGTTGACAAACGAGGCAATTTGATACAATTGTCTCAAAACGAGATATTTGTGTCAAATTAATCCGTTACAATTCCTCATCCAAACGAACCCTAAAAATCGTTGGACTATACAACTTATACCATTCATTTAACAACAGAACGAAACAAGTAAATGTAAATAACTGAAAATAGCGGGCAAATAAATAAATAACTTATATTTACTTACCACTATGAGATGGTCATCTTCCTTGAACGTTTCCCGGATCTTGTCCACGAACTCTGGATTCTTCTCTCGCCCTGCAAAATAACAAAACTCCCGAAGAGCCAACTTAGTGCTTGCATACTGCAAGAAGGCTATGGCATCGAAATACTACCTTTTGGCGTGTGGACATAGTAAGGAACATTGAAGATCTTCCGGCAATCATCATCATCATCCTCCGGAGAATCGGAATTGACGGCGGCGGTGGCCGCCTCAGCAGATCTCTGATCTCTCTGCTTCCAGACCTTCCCTGCATCAGCATGTGCTGCCTTAAAATCCTCCTCCATCCTGCAGTTTTTATAAGTTCATTCAAGATCCCGTATAACGCTCTAGCTTGTGCTAGTAGACGATATATGATCCACGATTGAACTTCTTCTAACAACTCGATTTATTAGGACCAACTGGGTTTATGAATATTGGTTGGTATACACATAAACAAACCTGACGTCGAGATAGACATGCCGCCCAGATTCGATTAGAGATTTGGCCGTAAGAACATCAACTGTGGGAACGGTGGCGACGACTTCTGCTCCTGAACTAGTACTGTAGTAAAATTGACAGACTTAGATCATCAATTATATATATTCCCAAGCCAAATGCTGAAAAAACCTGATGATTTGGTCTGGGAAGCAATGGAGAAGATGAAAGGAAGGAACCTTTTCTCCAGAGAAGAAGAAGCCATTTCTGACGAACTCATCATCTACACTTCCAGCAAATATTTGGAGATTCTGAAGCTCCAGAGACAGGTAGAGACCGTCTCCTCTGTATTTCTAAATGAAGGAACCCATTGACTTTGTTTTTTTAAGCATTGGATAATTTGTAGTTAAGGCTAACTACTGGTATTATAATGAAAGAAATAATTTGCACAAAACGTCTTCTTACACGTATATTTTGCCCTAATATATGCATCACAAATGCTTATTTGACATATAATAATATCCGTTGGTGTATTTTTTCCCCATAGATATCCCCATAGGAGAATAGCAGATACGAAGTATATAATAATATATATAACCTTTGCAAGTCAAATTACAAATGAAAAATGAGAAGACCTTTGCAGTTCTGACAAAATAGGGCTTTCCTGGCTTCCTGCTACGATATGGGCTACCCTATGATACCTGAACGACATGGGCAATATCATGATTTCTTTCCTTAAAGGATCAAAATCATAAACTAACCATGCTGAAAATTGAAGCAGGAAAGCAAATCCTTGTATCATGAAGACTGACACTCCCAATGAGCATCTTTACCTGCAAAATGAACAAATATAGAGGCCCGAAAGCCACAAAAGAAAGCCAAATCTTGTAGATCTGAGAGAGCGACTCACGCTCCGTATAAGCAGCTGAACGACATGGGTAATAAAAGGACTAGTCGATTGGTAAACGCCTACAAAATGAACAAACTAATGGGCGAGTACCGGTCCTAGCCAAAACTAATGAGAGCCCACCTACCTTGTTCGAGTAAAGCGGCCCAAACCAATGCCAAATAATATTCGTTGGTATTCTCATTAAGTTAAGTTTATCCAGCACTATCTCATTTGGACTAGGAGAATAAACCTTATACGGGCTGGAAGTAATTTTGAAACAAATATTTTTCTACTATTTAAGAGAAGTAGATTGCAGAGACGATATGTGTAGCGACAAGCGGTGAGTTGAATTTGACCAAATGAAACTGGAGAGAGAGGAAGGTTGATAGTTAATGAGATATTGGAACTGTGGAAGGAGTGAAGGGATCAAATTTAGAAGATTAGGTATGAGAGAAGAACATTAAGTGATTCCAGGTTTGTTTGAAATTTTCAATTCATAGCACGCAAAATGGTGTGATATATTTCTCCTGAATTAACTTATTCATCATATTACACAGAAGCACATAAAAGCGGAGTAAAAAAATACTATCTTAAGTGCTTTTGTGTGTTTCCACCGCATCCATAACCGATCTTGCCTGATTTTATATACAACTACTTTGCTTGAAAATTTAAACGTTTTGGTGACTTAAAAGACAATAAGCCATTTTGATTACATTGGTTAACATAACAAACTAGAGTTCGTTCAAATCAAAGCCAAGGAGGTAAGTAATTGAAGAACTTCAATCTTGACCGGACCGGATTGAAGCTTGACTGGAGATTGGATAGAGAGATAGGCCATCTTTCATGGTTTGCCAGTCGTCGAAGATGTACAACTTTACATATATGGCCTTTCGATGTAAGAAGCCAGAAAACAATCCCCAAAACAAGATCTCCACAAGCACAAACGCAAGAGTTCCCCACTTCTTTGAGCTCATGACGACCTGCAATACTGCAATACCCACTCTGTCCCATCAACCTGAAAACAAGACATTTGTTTTTATGGTTCGCTGAAGTTGGTCCAAATCATCAATTCAAGAATCCTGTCAAATACAAAAGATTGGTGATCGATTGCCATGGCTTCCTATCAAACTGGGAACAATACTGGCTGACACAATAATGTTGAACGATCCCTTGATGAACAATATAAGTAATATACTAACAATGCTCGCCAATCACAATTCTTACCAAGTTGTTTTCAGGTGAGCCCAAGTAGAAGCCTTGCACCACGGAGGGAAAAATCTCGCAGGTGGCTAAAGAGTAAACAATAAGTGCATTCATTCCCATCCACTGCATTACCAATGTTTCCTTCTGATACTCTTTTACATCAACCTGCATTAGTAAACATTTTGGGAGCTTTAATATTCTGCCTTAGTAAAAAACTTGACAACTTTATCAATATCTAGTTGTTAATAAACCTCAAAGGATTACTTGCCTAGTGATATTAGAGGATAAAATTCACCACACCATGGGGGCAACGATCATTGAAAAAACACAACATCTAGCTGTTAACTTTCTTGCATCAATGTCAGCATACCAAGGGGCTCCCTTCGTTATTATGGCAAAGAGTTGCTCATCGGGGGAATGAGTCATCGATATCCAAATTGTCAATTGGAAGTGATTTTGATTCCAACCTTGAAAGATGGTCAGCTACCAAGTTCGCCGAGCCTTTCTTGTCATGGATTTCTATGTCAAATTCCTGCAAAAGAAGAACCCAACGAAGTAGCCTAGGTTTGGCTTCCTTCTTAGAAAGAAGGTGTTTGATGGTTGCATGATCAATGTACACAATGGTTTTTAAACCCATTAAATATGATCGAAACTTCTCAAATGCATAAACTACCGCAAGTAATTCTTTCTCAGTTGTCGCATAATTCATTTGTGCATCATTAAGGAGTTTACTTGCATAGTAAATGGCATGTAACTTCCCTTCTTTCCGCTGCCCCAAAACAGACCCTACTGCATAATCACTAGCATCACACATTAATTCAAATGGAAGATTCCAATCGGGTGCTGTGATAATGGGTGCGGATGTGAGCTCCTTCTTAAGCTTGTTGAAAGCCTGCAAACACTCATCAGAAAAGTTGAAAGCATTGTCTTTTGTTAAAAATTCACATAAGGGTTTAGTGATCTTAGAAAAAAATTTAATGAACCTCCAGTAAAAACCGACATTTCCTAAGAAACTTCTAATTCCTTTCACATTGCTAGGTGGGGGAAGTCATTCTATAACTTCAATTTTAGCTTTGTCAACCTCAATCCCCCTAGCTGAAATGCGATGTCCAAGTACTATACCTTTCGTCACCATAAAGTGACACTTCTCCCAGTTAAGGACTAAATTGGTCTTTTCACATTGCTGCAAAACCTTAGACAAGTTAGCTAGGCAATGTTCAAAATTGATACCAAAAGTTGAGAAGTCATCCATGAAAACTTCAAGACTTGTTTCTATCATGTCGGAGAAGATGGCTGTCATGCACCGTTGGAAGGTAGCCGGTGCGTTGCACAACTCAAATGGCATTCTTCGGTATGCAAAAACTCCTTGAGGACATGTAAAAGCTGTCTTCTCTTGGTCCTCTGGTGCAACTGGAATTTGAAAGTAGCCGGAGTAGCCATCTAAAAAGCAATAGTGAGAATGACCAGCCAACCGTTCAAGCATTTGATTGATAAAAGGAAGTGGAAAGTGATCCTTTCGGGTTAACTCATTTAACTTCCTATAATCGATACAAACATGCCATCCGGTGACATTTCGAATTGGTATGAGTTCATCCTTGTTATTTCTCACCACGGTAATTCCACCTTTCTTTGGGACGACCTGCACAGGACGCACCCACTTGCTGTCAGAAATAGGGTAAATAATTCCTGCATCTAATAGTTTCATTACCTCCTTTCTCACAACTTCCTTCATATGTGTATTGAGCCTCCTTTGGGCTTGGATTGAGGGTTTGTAACCCTCTTCCATGAGTATCTTATGCATACAAAAAGTTGGACTCATACCCGTAATGTCGGCAATAGTCCATCCTATGGCTTTGATATGTCGTTGCAAGATTCTCAAAAGCTCTTGTTCCTGAGAAAGTGTTAGTGAAGCCGAAATTATGACATGCAATGTGGAGTCCTTACCCAAAAATGCATATTTGAGGTGACTAGGTAGTGGCTTTTGCTCTAGCTTTGGTGGTTGAATTCTTGATGGAACTAGCGTTTGGCGAGTTTGAGTTTCTCCTTCATTCTCAATCTGCATGGGTAAAGCCTCAAGCAATTGTGTCCTTTTTGACACGATTAGGTTTTCATGTTCAACATCATCATCAAAAGCATCAGAATCATAATCAGAATCATAATCATTGTTGAGAACCTTTTCGGTGCATGATTCTATCACATCCACCACACATACATCATCATAAGAGTCGGGATACTTACTTGATCGATAAACATTGAATCTTACCTCTTCCCCACATACTCTGTATGTAAGTTCTCCCTTTTGGACATCTATAAGTGCACCACCTGTTGCGAGGAATGGTCTTCTAAGAATGAGAGGCCCCTCCCGGTCCTCATCCATCTCCAAGATCAAAAAATCTGTCGGGAAGATGAACCTTCCCACTTTGACTAGCACATTCTCCACCACACCCTTTGGAATCTTCACTGATCTGTCCGCCAATTGGAGGGTGATCCGTGTTGGTTTAATCACATCTCTCAACCCCAATTTATTGTAAACCGAGTAAGGCATCAAGTTGATCCTCGCTCCAAGATCACAAAGGGATTTAGTGAAATCCTTATCTCCAATGGTGCAAGGAATGGTGAAGCTCCCCGGATCGTCTCTTTTCTCCGGTATTTTATTTTGAATCACTGCACTAGACTCATAGGTGAGGGTTACCTTCTCAATATCGGACCACTTGCGCTTCTTTGTAAGTAACTCCTTCAAGAATTTTGCATAAGTAGGCATTTGTTCTAATGCTTCCGCCAAAGGTATGTTGATTGGAGTTGTTTGAAGAGGTTTACGAACTTTTTGAAGTTTGGGTCTTCCAAGGGCTTCATCAACCTTTGAGGGAAGGGTGTAGGTGGTTCATAAGGTTTAACCACCTCATCTTGTAATTTTTCACGTTTTGTAGGTGCAGTTGACGAATGCATGTGCAGTGGCAAAGTGCTTGCATTTTGACCCTGCACATCTGCTTTTGCATTTTCTTCAGCAGAATTTTTTGCATCTTCCCCCATGCGTGGTTGCTTCTTTTCCTTTGGATCATCTAACTCCTTCCCGCTTCTTAAGGTGACGGCTACCACCTTGGCATCCCTTTGATTCCTCTCTGTGTTTGCGGGGAGAGTACCCAGGATGCGACCTTGAATGTCCGCCAATGTTTGAGCCATTTGACCCATTTGTCGCTCCATTGCCAAAATGGATAATTGCACATTATTGTTGACGGCCAATTGTTGTTCAATGTGGGTGCTTGTATGTGTCACAAATTGATCTAACCCCTTCATATTGTTGTCCATTTTCTGCATGTGGGCAAGAATCAATTCTTCAAGATTTGACTTCTTCTCCTCTCGAGGTTGTTGAGGTTGAAACCCAGGTGGTGGGTTGTTGGGACGAATTCTAGCGGTGTTGTTATTTGACCATGAAAAGTTTGGATGTTTGCGCCATCCTGGGTTGTAGGTGTTGGAGTAGGCACCGCCTTGGTTTCTTTGATTATTGATAAATTGAACTTCCTCCAATTGGGCAGCTCCTATGGGGCATTGTTCTAGATGATGAGCACCTGCACACAACTCATAAGAAATAGTTTGGCCAGCGGAAACGAGAGAGAGGTTGGCCACTCTCTGTTCAAGTGCATCGAATTTGGCATCCAACTTGGCTTCGATTCGTGCTTCTAAGCCGGTGAATTTGTCGACTTCATGCATATCGCCTCTCCTTCGTGAGCTCTTTTCTCCACCCCATTCATTAGCATCGGAGCACATGTTCTCTATGAGGTCATAGGCGGCTCCGGGCTCCATAGAAGTAAATCCTCCACCGGATGTCGTGTTCAAAGCTTGCCTGAACTCTCTTCTAATCCCATCAAAGAAGATGGTGATCACATTCCACTCCTCGAGGCCGTGGCTTGGGCATTTCAGCAAGAGCTCTTTGTATCGCTCCCAAGCTTCACTTAGGCTTTCATCCTCGGCTTGTACAAAGTCTACAATCTCCATTTGGGCTTTCATGGCTTTAGCGGGTGGAAAATATTTGTCAAGAAATGCCTTCTCTAGCTGCGCCCACGTGGTGATAGATCGAGGCGCCAGGTTTTGGAACCAATTAGCCGCTCGACCTATTAATGAGAATGAAAACATACGCAGCCGGATTGCATCATCGGACACGCCAGGATTCTTCATGGTATCACAAATGCTACAAAATCTCCTCAAATGGTCATGAGGATCTTCTGTACTTGCTCTAGAGAATGTGTAGCCATTTGTGATCATGTTGATGAAGGATGGTGTGATGTCGAGATTGGTGTTGCTGGTTGGAATGACAACCCTGGAGCTCGGGCTCCAGTTCTTCGATTCAGCTTGCCTCGGATGGTTCGATCTTCAGGTGGGTCATTCCTCCCTTCACGGTGTTGATTGTTGTTGTGGCCTATTGGGTAGCTCCCTCCTCCATTTTGCCTATAAGTGAAGAGATGAAACCCTTCTCTTCGTCTTGATGGCCTTTCGGAGAGGTAGGTGCGGATTTAGATTGGATGACTTTTCCTACCCTCGCCTACTTCTGGTTGTACTTACACGCCTTCTCGATTTCGTGCTTTATCGGCAACAACTCCTTAGTCTCCCTTCTTCGCATACGCCAAGAAGAAATATTATGAACTCTTCCTGCACACTAAAACTCAAATCAAAATAGTTCACTCAAACAAAAATTTATTAAAACTGAATTTTTGACAATCCCCGGCAACGGCGCCAAAAACTTGGTGGCGACAAAACTGCAAGTGCACAGTGTCGTACAAGTAATAAAGTGTAAGTAAAATTATCGTTCTCTAAGGGATTGGTGAAATTCAATAATTAACAAATTCAGTTCAAGAACTATAGGAATTCCAAAGGTTGTAATCAAGTGATGTTTGCAAAGATTAAGTAATTCGATAAATCAACTATTTTGTAGAAATTTATATTGGAGAGTTCCCGGGGAAACACAAGATTTTACTATTTTACCTCAGTAAATTTAATTACCCTTGTCAATCAATTTAATCCATATTTCTACAATCGGGATACCTATAATTTGATAGCTATCTCTATCGAGAATTATCACGTACTAACTAATTAAGACAATTTCTACTATCGTAGTTAACTGAATTAATTAATTAGCCTTAAGAACGATATCCCTGAAATGACTGCATAATTCCCTATTTAATCCACTATCGCTTCGATAGGCAATTATGTCGTGTGAAATGTGTTCGGTTACTAGGTTTTCACTATCGTTATTAACCTAGAAAACTACAAATCATTGTGAAGGTGGCCAATCAACACAAAGCGTTAAACAATTCGACATGATAGAAAATGGAAGAAAAACAAGTCATGATTAAAACATCGAGGCTAGATAATGAAATCCATAAGTTTCCCCCAGAAATGGGGGGATTAGTTCATGATGAAAAGAAAGTACATAAACATGCGACTAACTATCAAAACAAAGGAGTAGAGAAAGTACTAAGTGTTGAAGTTAATCCCCAACTTACAAGAGTCTTCCTCTCTTCAAAATGCTCAACTCCAAATTGTGCCAAAGTGAGCTCTCTCCTTTGATTTTTCTGTCTTAAACTAGTCTCCAAAAGTGTCACTTAAGTCTCCTAGTTGCTGCCCCTTTTAAATCCATTTTCTGCATATTTAATCCCACAAAACAAGACACTTGTAGGTCACATTTCCAAGAGAAGACTGCTGCTAGCTTAAGTCTCTTTCTTTGCAATAAATTCTTGCATCATTTTCTCTATTGGTGAGCCACCAAATCCATTTGCTCACTTCAAGAAATCTGACCCAATCCCAATAATTTCTAAAGGTTGCTGACAGTTGAGTGAAGATACCAACCACAATAATTCGATTTTGGTCTTCATCAATTTGGCCTCCTGCTGGATGTTTGCCTCTGCACATCTGCATTTTGACACTGCACCTGCATTCGTCCACTGCACTTTGTTTTGTTCACAATCTTAGCTTCAATCTGTGTTAAATCACTACATGTCTTGGTAATGACACTAGGGCCATTCCATGGTCAATATGAACTAATTTAGAGCAATTTAAACACATACATACATAAAGATCAATCATTTATGCACAAAATACATATATGTTTATGAAGCTTATCACATTGGTCCACTTGGGGAGAAAAAAAGAGATCAAGACCATGCAAGACCCAACTAAAATTAGATCATAAGCCTACTGCAAAAAACATGATGCCTAGGAGTAGGCCAGATGCTCCAACAGTGACGCACAAATAGCTCAAAGTATACAAGGGTTTGGAAAGAGGAATCCCTGTGATGAGAAGAAAAGTGAAGGGTGGATGAAGCCACTTTGGCGATGAATTTTTTTAACAAATTGGATCATCAAGGGAAACAACGTACCGAGCAATACCAGCACATATCCGGCAAGAACTAATGATAATGATGTTACCACCCACAACACCAACCTTTGCAGGTTGTCCTACATCAAAGAAGCAATGGACTATCAGTGGTTGATCCATCGACAAAGAAACATGAGATTATATTCTTGCAAAAAATATTATATATGCTTCATACCTTAACATGGAGAAGCACGTGTCCAAAATGCAATCCTATAAAGCTAGTAATAGCAACCATCAAGGAACTGTCTTGTTCAAGAAACCAAGAACCACTAATTATAAATGCATGCAACACGTGAGTTTCTTAGATCCAATAACATGGAACTCCAACAAATACAACATGCAATGATATTCAACCACATCGTAAAATCCAATAGTTCATAAAAAATTATGATTTGCATAACATCTGGCAAGTATCCTTCCTAGGTAACAACAACACAGCACACATGTAAAACCATCTAGTTGTCTAACCTCAATATGCCCTCAGGGTCAAACGGAGCAAGGCACCAGTAAGGAGCTTTTGGGGGAAGAGGCCCATAGTCGGGAGAATTAACACTACATTGGTGAAGAAGCAATCACTGTTAACGGGTGTCTTAAATGAGCAGGGAAGATAGATCCAAGTGTGATAGTATAAAGAGATCCAATACCTCTGTTATGATATATAAAGGATGCTGATACATATGTTCTAACCCAAGCAAAACTCGATCAACAAATCCAACCGCATTACAAGGAGGATCAAGGCTGCCCCTTACTCCACAATGCACCTGAAAGTTCCGAGCAACCATCCAAATAAGTAGGACAAGATACATAGAATATTTAATATTGAACCTAGGTTAAAATCTTAAAGTAGAAACAGAAGGTGGGATCAAGGATGTTGCCATGGGTGCAGCTTTTGACAGTAGGCTTGTCAGTCTGCTCCTCCAAATTCAACTTACAGTTTGAGTATATGAACAATTGTATGAAGGAGTCACGCATTGACGTTCAAATGTCCAATCTGGAACAAACAGGCCATACAACAAGCACATGTAAACTGCACATACAATCAAGGCCACCATCCTGTAGAAGAGAGTGCAAGTCAAAATATGCCACCATCCTGAAGAAAAGGAAATCATTAAACACACAAAACTTTGGTTGGTGAAAAAGATACAAAGAATATATAGCAGTAGATGCCGAAACCAAATATTTGTTTAAGGGAAAATACTCACAGCCAGTGGCTTTTGTTTCCTGATTCAAAGTTGAGCCTATAAACACAGATTGGTCTATAATATAAAAGCAAAATATCATAGTTCTAGTACGAACAAGTTTCATTCAGATCACTTTGTGATATGCATATAAAGGTACACAAAATAACATACAAGTATTCCAAAACCCAAGCAAGCTTGTCCTTTTCTATTTCATGTCCTCCCTCTCCTTCTCTGGAGTTACTTTTTCAAGTAGTTATTAGGACAAAATCAAACCACTAAAGTATAGAACTAACCACTGAAAATGATATTTCTTCACAAATGCCATTATTGACTCAACCGCACTATTATCCACAAGCCAAATCTCTGACATCGAAGCGAACAGATAACCAAGCGATATTCTCAGCAAATGGCCAGGACAGTGTCGCTTGCATATGAAATATAAGAACCTTCAATGCAAAAAGTTAGCTAAATATGAAATGACTTGTCTCTACCACATTTAAAATGTGTTATGACTCAAGTAAACTTGAACAAAGAAGCTTTGTAAAGATCTTACCCAACTATTTTTTGTGATAATGAGGAAGCATTTTATTAAAGAAAGAAGAGACAAAACAAAATACAAATGACACAGCAAGGACAGAAACAATCTGGTTCTTAAGATATGAGGCTATGATTGAAGTCAAAGAAATCTTCAGCCTAACTAAGGATCGTTACCTGTAGCATCCCAAGCCAACGAATCTTCCTCACATTGACTCCGTAAGTAAGATCATGACTGCCATGGAAGTATCCACATGGAAACACAACAAACTGTATAATTTGCGGTAGCAGCCAATAGTGAAACTACGACATGAAAATGACGGTCCATTTTCAATGAGGCAAATCAAAGTACCTTGCAACAACACCCCTAGGACAAACAACTTGATCGTTCTCAGAAGGACCTTTTTTGTCGCATCTACTCTGTTCGGAACTTTCTGCAGTAAACTTGCTCCAAATCAAGCATCAGTCACATTGCACGCTAACTGTTCGATCTTTTTTTCGCAATGCCAAGGATACATCGCGCCGACAGACCAATGAGCAAACCACACTCTGGAATTAGTCCGGTTACCTTGAACACAAGACCAACGGAAACACCGACGCCAAAGAGGAAATACGGCATCACGAAATCGGCCAGCGTTACTCCGAACCATGGGGAATGATTGATCGACGGGAACACTCCTCCGACGTCATCCACAAGAATCATAAGCTAAAAGCAACGAAATCAAACGAGAATCAGAACACATACACCCTCGAGCTACTTGCGATTATTGCAAGAATTGATGAAGGAGAAGGTCTATGACTCACGCCAACAGTTAGACCGCGGAAGACGTCGAGAGATATGAGGCGTTGACTTTTTGGTGGCGGCGTCGGCATCTCCTCTAGAGGAGAAGTAGTGATTTCGCCGACTATAACTTGTCCGGCTGAAGGTGGGAGAAGAGGTTGGCAGTGATCGCCTTCGCCGATGATCGCCATTTGATACGATTCGAACTTTGCTGGAGTATCGGCGACCGACGCTCACTCTGCTTCTGCTGCGGTGAAATTATTGAATGTGTTTTTAACTTTTCAAACTAATCTATCTATCTATCTATCTATCTATCTATCTATCTATCTATCTATCTATCTATCTATCTATCTATCTATCTATCTATCTAAGAGATTTTAGATTTGGACAACTGCCACATACTCCTCCCTGCACGTTGAAGCTATCCACGTCAGTCTCCCTTTCACACATAAAACCTTTGTTTCCTTCCCTTTACAATTTCGCCGCTTTCCTTCCGCCAGCGCCAGAATATGAAACTGTAACTGCCTCGCGACTGCCCTATCTCGCGCTCTTCCGCCACACCCTATCGCCGCTCTCGATGACTCGGTTGCCCACTCTATTGATTCCTTTTGCTTGATTTTCTCGCTTTACTCATAACAGTATTCTCTTGCTTCTACGACCCCAAATGCTCATGGGTGCTAGCTTTCTACTAAATCATTGATCGGGAAAGGCAGCAACGCGGTGCGGCCGAGAAGGAAAAAAAATACTAAGCCCTCAACATCTTTACAGTAATTTCGAAGCCCCATTCTTACGAGTTTGCTCAGCCTTTGTCCGGCATATTTGCTTTCTGATTGAGATTTTTTGGATCATTCTCTGCTTCCTCACTTCTGTTGTTGATCGGGAAAGGCAACGACATGGAAAAACTATCGGCGACTGTGGACTGAGAAGCAAATAGTCTCTTGGTAAGCCCTCCATATCGCCTCAACGATCATTCTTGAAGCCCCATTCTTACGAGTTTGTTCAACCCATGTTTTGCAAGTTTGCTTCGGATCACTCTCTGCTTCCATTGTTTACAAGTTGCAGACTTATTGATTAAACACAGTCCGATATAGTGAATTAATGATCCTCGACGCTTCTGTGTTGATTGTTTTGGTGGGGTTGAGTAGAAAGCGACTATTTTGTTTGAATTGTTTGTTACTTTGTTTACCTCTTCATTGACATTATTTTCCCTTTCTAAATTCATTATTAGCTATTGCATATGGTGAAATTTCTCAAATCTGGCTTCACTGGTTTATATTTGTTGGTGTTGTGGTAGTCTTTGACCTTAATTTACTAGTTACCATGATGAAATTTAGAGTTTTGAATCAAAACATAGCTAACATAGTCATAAACAACTGCTCATCAATCCACCATGAAAAACACTCCATCTTAAGTGCATAACATAGGCGGCTATTGCCTGTTGAACCTTCCAGGAAATGGTCCTGAACTCCTAATAACCTTCTGACCACTCCTACTATTTCTCCACTGTCAATCTCATTGTGGGTAATCAAGATTTAGCCCTCCTGCGTTAGTTTAGTTTCGGTTGTTTCTAATTTGACAGATTAATTTCCTTAGTAACTCTTAGTAATATCCTTCGTATGGGCTAAAACATTTAACATGTTTTCAGTTGGTGTACTTTCCCAGTTTCGTTGTTGCCCTCATCAACTCATATCCTTTCCTACAACTGAAATGGCCAAGAAAAGTAAAAGACTGATGATACCCCAACAAAAGAACTCGACAATACAACTGAAATTCTTCCACCCAATACGTTCAAGCTGTACTTTACAACTTTATATTTTTAATTTTATACATTCTTTCCCAGATTCATATCGCTTAGTTAGGGGACATTGTTACGGGACATTGTTATTCTGAAAATGGTTTTCTAATTTTCTCTCCCCAGATACTTCTTATAGTCTGATGCTTCTACCTCCTATTCTGTTTGAATAGACTCCTATTGTTGAAAGCATTTTTATTCAAATATAGACATAAGTGATGTATATGCTTTTTAACAGAACACAATATAAATTAACGAAAAAACAACAATAACAATACTACCAATACTAGAGCTAACTGCGCAACGCGCAGGGTCTAAGCTAGTTTGTCTATCTATCTAGCTATAAAATATATTAAAGGATTTTAAGAATTGCACCCATACCACATCAGCATTCCTCAAAAATTAGGTTGTCCACGTCAAATTAAAAAAAAAGCCTCTTTCATTCTCTCTCCATCCTCTCTCTTCGAGAATAAGTCCGCCCTCTTCTCCACCAATCGATCCCACCTTCACTCATAACCGCCGTCTCCTTTTTCTCACCGATCGTTGATGCATTCGGTACTTCGCAAATCTCCCCACCAGTTGCGACGAAACCTGGAACTTCCCAAATCCGCCCATTCTGACAAGACAAGAGGCAACAACCCCCCTACTAGGCTACTACCCCCAAATCCTGCATCAATTGCGCCTTCCTCGGCCACGTCCGGTGAGGATTTCGCTCCGACGACATTTGCCACTGATTTGCCTCCCCCACCACTCAGAAGCCGTGTCCGACGAAGCTACGCAATCCGCATCAAATTCGGCCTCATAATAATTAGGCACAGCCGGTAAATCACATCCTAAAATAGTGCCCAATTAAGTTGCGGTTTTATTCTGCTACACTACTACGATTTTCTTGCTTGCCATGGATATTCTTTTGCTTGCCCTTTCACATTGATTACCACCCTTCCGTCTTCTCTTTGTCCATGCCAGTTTCATAGTTAAAGTACGTAGTTGTTTAGTTAGACATTTGAGTCAAAGTAATGTAACAGAACATGGTGCTAACTAATGGTGCTAATGGTTCTTATATATGTTTGCTTGAAGAAAAGTTAGTTTGTGAACTGATGTCCATAGCACACAGTGATAATTAACTGGTGATTGCCTGTTATCTTTAGTTTTTTTCTATTATCATTCGTCGGTTCTTTTCACTTTGTTTTTTTATTGGTTTTGTTGCCAGTTATTGTTATACGGAAAGAATCCAAAACAAAAATCATGGTCTCATAGTTTCAATTATTTTACTATTTCTAATATATTTTAATTAGTTTATTTGTGGTGCTACAAATATTTATAGAAGTTAGTGACTTAGTGTTTATATATAAACACTTAAACAGGGATGTTTATGTATGAGTCAACCACCAAATTATAATGATTTATTTTTCAATAAATTCAATTAGTTTCATAAAATTTTCATCTAGCGATTAAATATCAATTGTAGTTTACTAAATTAAATTATTCTCATAATTTTTACATCACTTAAAACATATAACAACTATTAAAATGTTTCTTGTTCACAAATTGGATAATTGATGTTAGATTTTCCAATAAAGTATGCTTACTGGTTATCAATTTTCTAATTATTATTCCTATATTTTCGTTATATTTAGCCATTAAGGTTAGAATCTCCCTTTTTTCAACTTGAAAAGTGATAATTTTAAATACAAATTTTTACAATCACTATACTTAGGCTACATATTCCAAAAGTACATATAATCATAGAATTATAACTTGTAAATGATCCATAGTGACACGAAACTGTTATCGAATTGTATGCATTAGATTGTCGGAACGAAGATTGAAATGGAAACAAAAACAAAATCAACAACAGATTTACAAAGAAAAACCTAACCAACAGGATAATCAAAATCCGAATCACAAAATTCATTATATAGGCAAACGAATCGTTCTCCTTGAGTGTCCATTTGCCACCGAAATAGGCACCATAACACAAGTTTCATCCTCTCTAACACAACAACATAGTAGAGGATGCATCAAAGTATACAGGAATGTTCTCCCCCGTGCATGATCCCCCATATTATGGTCGAACTCTCAATAGCGTCGGCAGCTGGAGTAGTTTGCGGGTGAATCATCGGGAACTGAAGTACATCCCAAGCTGAAGCACTAATTAAAGGTGGAAAGTTGGAGTCAGAGGTGAAGATGTTTGATAGTGATTAGGAAGAGATTGTGAGGAAGCCGGAGGTATAAGGATGAGTTCTTTGCTTTCATTTTATTTTAAATAATTTTTTTATGTGCGGGCATTTATGTGTTAGTCACATCATCATAAGTGAACGTATTTTGATCACCGCCTAGACTCTAGTCTACCGTTATTTTTAACAGTCAACGAAAGGGTCAGGATATAAATGTCACATAAACCTCATAGTTTGTGCTATGATTCTCATTTAAATACGTTAGGACACAAGTGTTTTTTTTTTTGTGATAGTTGGGGTGTTTAATTTGAATTAGCCCTAAATTTTATTTAGAGTTTAGACCAATTCATCATAGTAAAGTTATAAAACATTAGTTTTCAAAAAAATTCCTAAAACATTAGAGCTTAATATTTTTTTTTATGGTTTAGAGCTTAAAATTAATAACAACATATGTTAATATATTTTTAATAACATATCATAAATTATTAGAGTAACACATCTCATAAAATTTTAGTATTAAATTAAATCTATATTAAATAGGAGAAATAAACAAATGAACTATATAATGAAAATATTATATGTTATGATTTTTTTCATTTTATATACAACTATGTTAAAGTGCATTAAATACTATAAGTACTGGTTTCCCTTTTACCTACCATTTACACGCTTTTGAAAGAGAAAAGCGGGAATGGCAGGTTAGGGAGTGGCGGCACGCGTATCGTCCCGACACTACAGAATTCTCGTCCATTATGTTATTTTGTTATCCGAGACTATCCTTTTGTTTAATAAAATTGGTTAAATCTCTTCCTTTTAACGTATTACAACACAAATCCGTAAGAATTAAGGAAAGCCGATTGAGGAAGGAGGAATGCGGAGAAATGAAACAAGAACAAGAAGGTGTCAATACTTGAACTTATGATCATGCTCTGAGTTGGATGTAGTGGATGTTGTACTATCAAACATTGGTATTGAATCTCTTCCTGCATATTTAAAGTAGCGTAGAGTTCTCTTTGTTGATTAGTTAAGCTTTGTTTTCCCATTTGGGGAAGGTTATTTTGCAGATAGTTGCGTTCTTAATTGTCAATTAGTTAAATCAGAAATATGTGACAATGATATTTTATTTGTTTGTGATTATGCACACATGTTTAATTTATAAGTTTGGTTTGACGGTTTGGCAAAAGAAGTAGAAGAAATCATTGATTTAGAAGAAATAATTTGTTGATGTAGCAATGAAATTCGATGATCTATTACCGAGATACGACGACTCTCTGGGATGCATAGACAGAGGCATAGGAGGAAGGAGTTGCGACTAAATATGGGCTGATGATGGGGAAGGCTATTGTGGCTGCGGCGACGGTGGTGCTACGGCAGGGGAATATGGTTTCGTATAATCCGTGCTTTGACACATTTTTTGTTTAATTTAAATTAGTAATCATGAAAAATAACTAGAAGGTTAATGTAGAAATGATAAATTTGAGTGCTTTAATTGACACATTTAGATGTAAATTCGTACGAAGTTTTAATCTTCCTTGGAGGACATGAGTAATAATTAGGGAGGATTGAAAAATTATATGTGTATGATAAATATTATAGAAATTTTTAAGATGTGCACAAAAATTCTTTAATTATGAATTGAATGTCTTAGGAATATGTATTATTTAGGTCAATCACTAAAAATTATCGATTGAATGTCGAGAGTTTGTTGAGAAATCAAGGGTTACTTAGTTATAGTCTCATAAACCTAAATGAAAAAACCACAAATTTATATAAGAAAAGACGTGAAATTCACCCGGCCAATAGGCTGGGCACAAAGCTAGTTAGTATTAGTTAGTTTATTTCCAAGTCAGAAAAAATAACCATACAGTATACACCATTGAGACTTAACCAAGGTTGTCAATCTGGGGTCAACCCACGGATTGACTAGAATTGTCCCACACCCAAAGATAAAAACGGGCATCACACCTACCAAGTCGACCTCTAGCAAAATTCCTGAACGAGTGGTCACAAAATGTCAAATGTACAATTCACCCGTATTTACATATTCTTTTGTATTTATGTAGATATCCTATTTTTTTCCAAACAATTTCATCAACCTCATCTATCAATCCATTGGTTTTTTCACAGGATTTTATAAATTTAATTAACCAACCACAATATTACTAACCACTTATTTGGTATAAATTTAATATTACTTAGAAGACTTCAACAAAAAAAAAAGAGATAAATTATCACTGTCTCTTAGACCATAGGCGGAGCCAGGCTCCTTTGCCCTTGTCCCAGGACAGGAGTAATTTTTGGGAGAGTTCATAATACCACACTTAAGGATATTTTGTCATAACACCTTAACTCGTTACTTGCTTTTTTCATTTATTGATTCAATTTATAACACTATTATTTGACAACAACTTGTCTATGATGAAATATGAATTATCACGAGTAGGTGGAGTCAAAAGTGCATCAATTACATAGTCAGTTTATTTGCTTAAGTGTAGAAATGAAATTTTATCTTTAACTATATTAACAACTTGTTTCAAAGTCGAATTGCCAATTAGTTTGTTAATGATTATTTAATGTAATACATTAAAAGTGACTTATAAGAGTGTTAACAACATATATATTTTGCATTTTTTTCATAATATAAAAATTCGGTGTGGTTGTTTATGCAAAATATAATTGCATTAGTCGGTTATTTCTTTATCTATAAATGAATTACCCGAAAATTATTAACTTTAATTATATTTATAAATATTGTTAATTATATATTTATATTTCGAAAAAAGAACAAGGATAATTTCAGATCCTGCCACTATTCGGACACATAAGAGTTTCTCTTCTATAAAATGCATTCTCTCGTGAAACCTGTCCATGTACACTATCTGGTGTAAATTTCATCGCAGATTTCGTGTGTAAATTTCCCTCTGATATAATACTCTTTCTTTCTGGATTTTTACGCTTAATTCTATATTAGCAATGTCCCTACTGGATAGCACAATGTAGACATTTTAAAATCACGTTGCCACAAAACAATAAATTATGACCAACGAAGAAAATTGATGCCTCGGTCATGAAACCAGAGCGGCGGAATCGGGATAGTGCTTCTGATGCTCATTCAATTCACCTTTAGCCGGCTTAGCGCGGTAGCCGATCAGCACAGAATTCAAACCGCCGGAATTAGATGACCGCCATTAGCAACGAAATCACAGCTCCTCTTCGTAAGCACCCCTGCTTCCTTCCAACTTCCCACTTCTCCAATTTCATTTCTAATGTCCGCCCACCGTTGTCTTTTACTTACTCTCAGTTCAGCAGCAGCAGAAGAAGAAAAACGCTGCCGCGTCGACCTCCGGCGCTATTCCAGAGGAGGACGATGCTGACGACGACAATCTCCAGAACTCTCCGATCGAGCAAGTTGCGCTCACCGTCCCGGCCACCGACGACCCCTTTGTCCCCAGCGTCACTTTCCGGACATGGACCCTCGGCGCCCTCGCCTGCGTCCTCCTCTCTTTCCTCAACCAGTTCTTCTGGTACCGGAAAGAGCCACTCTCCATCACCGCCATCTCCGCCCAGATCGCGGTGGTTCCCCTCGGCCACTTAATGGCCTTCGCCCTCCCCAACAGATTGCTCTTCCGAGGGACCAGATTCGAATTCAGCCTGAATTCGGGCCCTTTCAATGTGAAGGAACACGTACTCATCACAATCTTCGCCAATTCCGGAGCCGGCAATCCCTACGCGATCCACATCGTCAGCGCCGTCAAGCTCTTCTACAAGAAGCAATTGACCTTCTTCGTCGCCCTCCTCGTCGTCCTCACCACCCAGGTGCTCGGATTCGGCTGGGCAGGGATCTTCCGCCGGTATTTGGTTGAGCCGGCGGCGATGTGGTGGCCGCAGAATCTCGTCCAAGTCTCCCTCTTCCGGTAACCAATCCCCCTCTCTTCTTCTTCCCCTCTTTCTTGTTTGTCCTTTTTCGCCGTCATGGCAAACGTCAGCAGAGTTACAAATCCGAGAAACACTGGGCCTATATCTCGTTACAATGGGCTTTCCCGTAACCCAGATGGGCCCAGCCCATGTCACTTATAGCTACAAGCCTACAATTGGATTTTCCCCCTTGCAGGGCGTTACATGAGAAAGAAAATAGGAGGAAGGGAGGAGTTACAAGGAACCAGTTCTTCATAATGGCCTTCACCTGCAGCTTTGCTTACTACGTTTTCCCAGATTACCTCTTTCCCAAACTATCATCCTTCTCATGGCTCTGCTGGGTATTGCCAGCTTCAGTTTTAGCTCACCAACTCGGGTCGGGATTCCGTGGGCTTGGGATCGGCGCCGTGGGCTTCGATTGGGCCACCATTTCAGCCTACCTAGGAAGCCCACTGGCAAGCCCATGGTTCGCTACAGCTAATGTAGCAGTTGGCTTTACGCTCTTCATGTATGTCATCACTCCTCTAGCGTACTGGCTCAACGTCTACAGAGCCAAAACGTTCCCCATATTCTCAGATGGCTTGTTCAGGGGTGATGGTCAGGAATACAATATATCCGCCATCGTCAACTCGAACTTCCACATCGACGTTGATGCTTATGATAAGCAAGGACATCTCTATCTCAGCACTGTTTTTGCAATGGTTTATGGCTGTAATTTTGCTTGCTTGACTGCCACGGTTGTTCATGTCTTCCTTTTCCATGGACGGTAAGGTTAAGTCCCCCCCAGCATTTCCATGTTTGCCCTTTTGAACTGGCTTTGTTTCTGATTAAGATTGGATTTTTGTGGGGGAATGGGGGTTTAATAGGGATATATGGGAGCTGAGCAAGTCTTCCTTCCAGGACAAGCAAATGGGTGTACACACAAAGCTGATGAGGAAGTATAAGCAAGTTCCAGAATGGTGGTTCTTGTCAATGTTGTTCTTGAACATTGCAGCAACCATGTTTATATGTGAATTTTACAAGGATCAGCTTCAACTGCCTTGGTGGGGCGTGCTGCTAGCTTGTGCTATTGCATTCTTCTTCACTCTTCCGGTTGGAATCATTACTGCCACGACGAATCAGGTAAATCATGCATTAGTACTACTGTCTGTTACATAGGATATTCATGGAAATTTTTGGATGTCTGAAGCTCCGATTTTCTGTTTTCGCTTTCTTGGTGATTAGACACCAGGCCTCAACGTGATAACAGAGTTTGTAATTGGGTATCTATACCCAGGGTACCCAGTGGCTAATGTCTGCTTCAAAGTGTATGGGTACATCAGCATGAAACAGGGGATTCTGTTTCTCCAGGACTTCAAACTTGGTCATTACATGAAGATCCCACCTAGAGATATGTTCATGGCACAGGTTTGATTAGTTGATTATATTCTCTCAGCCTCTAATCAAACAAGAAAGAAAGAAAGAAAGAAAGAAAGGAAAAAAAAAAAAAATCTCATTGCATTCTGTGAGTTGATTTTTGTTTCAGGTGGTTGGTGCTGTAATAGCAGCATTTGTTCATCTAGGAACAACGTGGTGGCTAATGAGCACAATCCCAAACATATGCGACCCGCTTGCTGCTTCCACCCGACAGTCCATGGACATGCCCCGGCGACCATGTGTTCTATGATGCTTCTGTGATATGGGGCCTAATCGGCCCGCGGAAAATCTTCGGGGACCTCGGATACTACTCCAACATCAACTGGTTCTTCTTAGCCGGAGCTGTAGCTCCTGTTCTAGTTTGGCTAGCGCACAAGGCTTTCCCTGACCAGCACTGGATCAAACTCATTTCCCTGCCGGTGATCTTGAGCACCACGCTCAACATGCTGCCCGCTACTGCAGTGAATTACACGAGCTGGGTGCTTGTTGGTTTTGCTTCAGGGTTTGTTGCTTACAGATACTACAGGGAGTGGTGGAGTCGCCATAACTACGTCCTGTCGGGGTCTCTTGATGCTGGATTGGCGTTCATGGCGGTGCTTCTGTACCTGTGTTTGGGAATGCAGCATGTTAGTCTTGAATGGTGGGGGAGCGACTCAGATGGATGTCCTCTGGCTTCTTGCCCGACTGCTACTGGGGTTAGTGCTAAAGGCTGTCCACTTTTCTGATTGATTTTCATCCGGGAAGACGGATTTGTTGTCATGTGATTAAATATTTAAATACAACAGAAAAGATTGACGTGTTTTGTTCTTGTCACACCCGCTCAATTGATGAACGTTGTCTGTAACTTGGTCAATGGTCGATACGTGAACAAGTAATGGACTTACGACTACCTGTTTTCACACAAAATGGAAATTGACTTCTAGGTGATTAGAAATTTAGAATGAGAATGAAAATCAGATTGGCAAAGAGATAGGTGGTCATGGATTGGATAAGTGATGCATAAAAGTTTTTTCAAACGAAAAAAAAATCAATGGATGAACAAGTGTTTGGTCTAGTGATAATACCATTAGTTTTGAACATGGTGAGGTCTCAAGTTTGGAACCGTTAAGCTGTATCTAACCACAAAAAGTGAACTTATATCACTCTTATATAAAAAAAAAAATTATATTGGTCCAATATTTAGATGTCACTTGGATCTATGAATGCAATCCACCAATTCATTTGACTCAATTCGTGATCAATCCACCAATCTAACTAGTTTAAGAAATGTCAAAGTATGAATAGATATTGTAAGAAATTGAGATAGAATGGTCTAAGAACGGGATGTAGCGAAATAAAGTGAGTTGAAAGTAAATACCTATGTTCCCTGTGCTATTACGAGTCGGGTAATACTCGTCCCATCACTTGGATAATATCCGACGGGACGAGTTCAAATGACCATCTCTACATGCCACTTTTACCGAGAAAAGAGAAGCGTTTTTTTCTTCCTTGTGCATGCTCTTCACCAGTCGTCACTTGACTATAATTAGTTTGTTAATTGTGATTAGTTATTTGCCACGTACCTAGCATCTAGCTAGCAATTGGTCATTCATTTCAATCGTTACTCGTTAGTTTTCTTTGCCGTTAATGTGGACTGTTGTAGGATAATGACAAAAACAAATTTAATTTGCTCTTGTATGTATATAAAGAAATCCAACACACAGATGAGATGACAGATGTGATTGGGATTTCATCAACGCTGTATATGTCGCTATTCATTTGAAACTCAACAGCCTGGAGGTGGAGTAATTAATAATAATAAGGTCCCTTTGCTTTCTATTCTAGCGCAGCAGCTTTGCATGGCCATGCAGCAACGGGACCCTCGATCGAGACAACCGCTTCCTTTGGCAGTGTCGGAAAAGCTACGTTGGTTCAGCTTCAATCATTGTACGTCCATATCCATCGAATTAGGGTGTTCAAATTAGTCATTTTAATCAATAATATTCGAATAATTTGATTTGATTAATTCAAAGTGGTTAATTTTTTTTAGCTTGTTTGGTTTCGGACACGTATAATCAATCAATTAAAAAAATTAGGCAATTAGTCATATATCTAATGTATTATATACCTCATAGGCTCATACTTGATACTTGGCATAACCACCAGTGGCGTAGCCAGAATTTCATCTAAGGTGGGTCCACTTAGAAGAAAAATACACCTGGTAAAATAATTTTTGTTAACTTTGCGAATCATTCATGACATAATCTTATATTGGAAAATTTTGGTTAATTAAAATAGATTAGCAGTCGAAAGTATCAAGAATATTACTCTATATACCAAACAATTATTAATGATTTAGTTAGTCGTTCTATTTTGTATGATGTTCTTTGTCAAAAATCATTAGTATCTATAACTCGAGTTGTCAAAAGATATTTAATAATAAAGCTTACACCAAACAATAATACATGATTTAGTTAGTCATTCGCTTACAACTGATGTTATTTGTCAAGAATCTTTTTGAATCAATAAATTGAGTTGTTGGAAGAGGTTCAATAATATATCTAATACTATTTACTAGCATGCTCCCTCATATAAGAAAGTCAACTTATAGAAAAATGAAGTTTGCACAAATCTGTATATCGTGTACTTAACAAATGAGGTCACCAAGATTCGAATACAAAAGCTTTTGATCAACTATTCTCAATTAAATACGCCGTAATTTTCGATATAAATTAACTATTGTACCTAATTGAACAATTTTCCTTCCGAGTCAGGGTGGGTCCCTGAACCCACCCTGTTATACTCTCCCTCCGTCACTGATAACCACTTTGCATAGTTAAGTGTTCATTCCTTTTGGACCAATAAAAAAAAGGGCAATGTCTATTTTTTACCCAAACCTTTTTCAGATTCTTTTATTTTAACCAAACCTATTGAATTCCTAAAAATTAACCAAACATTAACTCTCCGACAACTTTTCTGTTAGTAATGCTGACTAAGTATGATCATAATGAGTTGACTTTCTACGTGGCGGTCAGAATACCATCATTTACTATTTTTAATAAAAAGATTATCAAAAAACAAAACAAAATCTCACCTCTCACGTGGATGAAATAAGTAACGGTAACAGAATGAATGCCCAGACTTTGATAAATTATAATACGTTTGGATAATAAAGAGAATTTCTACAGGTTTGGTTAAAATAAAAGAATCTGAAAAAGGTTTGGGTAAAAAATAGACATTGCCCTAAAAAAAATTATAGCTAATAATTGTTCTTATACTATATTTGTTATAAGAGATTTTAGGCAACAAAATATGTGCTCTTAATTCAGATAAATTGCATACACTATGTTAAATGAAAAGTTGAAAGTTAGAAGAGGTTTTCAGCCTGCTAAAAAAATAAGACGATTCATACAGACAAACTCAATTCATTATTACTCATGTCTTTGATATAGTGTTGTTAGGTGGCTACCTCTAATGATTGTGGATAATTATATTAGTTGTACACGTATTTACGTGTAGTGTAACAATGAGTTAACTATTATATTTTATTCATTGTATAATTTATTGGATTGATGTAATTTTTTTTGATAATGCTATGTTATTGGTTAACTTCAATTAACCAATTAATGAAATCAGTTAAACTTTTGTTTGATTAGTGTAGTACTTATCGTGTTAATTTGACCTTGACTAGCCGTGTACGTGGAGCCAATTGCAAAGCCGGCAAGGGGCCTTGCTCTGCTTAATTTCATTAATCAGTCGTTAGCGTGAGTTGACATGTCACGTGAAAGTAATCAAGTTCATTTCACTTAATTGTATATGCATCCAAAATCGACATAGATATATCAGTCAATATCCAGATATATTTTTTAATATCATTATATATGCTCTGGCTATCCCCAATAATTAATTAAGTACGAAATGATTAACTCTTTTAAATTATTTAGTATTTCTCCATGTACAAAACATTTCCAATCTACGAACTTCTGGATTCATACCATTTTAACATATATAAGGCTTGATACTTAAAGCTTTATCATTTTCTACATTTATAATTATTAATTATATGTTAATTGCTATTCTGTTTACGGCCTGTTGGCTATGGTTAAACAAATAGAACAAAAATGGGGCTCACCTCGATCACATGCAAGGTCCTGGACAAAAGCAAATATTCTTTTGCTGTTGTAAATGAAATCATCTGAGTGTTACACCGGCCATATCTTAATTGATATCTTTGCTATCTTTCCATTCTATCGACATCAACAAATAGAAGGTGCAAATCTGAATCAAAAGATGTTGTAGCCCACGAAAAAAAAAAACAATCGAAAATGACAATTCAGTGAAACAATACACTAAGTTTGCGGAAGAAGTGACACGTAAAATAAATCACGCGTCAATCGTTTTGAACTAAAAAAAGTGAAATTATAGAAAATTTGCTAATAATATTTGAATTTTTGTTTACGAAAATAAAACGTAGAGAAAATATATATATTTATGAGTTAAGTCTCATAAGTCATAAAGATAAACCCTTTACATCTTGATTTAGGTAAACTTAATCCTAAATCCACACTTATTTAATTCCTTCTTAATTATTAAGAACCCGTGGCGTAGCGCATGCTTGCAGTTCTGCTATATAAAGAAAGCCAAGATGTACGAGAAGGCCCATAGCCAAAATTTCCAGAAATTGCTAATTTGATCCTTCTTCTTCCCTTCAAGCTCCGACATCATAGCCTAGGGTTTCAGAATTTCTCATTAGCTATTTATTTAGCTCAAGGAGAGTGTAACATGATAGTATTCAGGCTCGAAAGAAGAATATTAAATTTTGACACAATAGTTAATTAATATCGAAAATTAGAGAATATCTATTTGAGAATAGTTGATCGAGAGGTCTTGTGTTTGAATATTGACGGCGTCATTTGTTAAACACATGGTATTCAGATTTGTACAAACTTCTGTTAGCTGAATTTCTTATGAGGGGGAGGTTAGTAAATTGTACATGATACATTATTGAATCCTCTCAACAGCTGAAGTTATTAATACTAAACTGTTTTTGACAAAGAACGTCATTTGAAAGCGAATGACTAACTAAATCACGAATAATTTTTTAGTATAAGATTCATCATTAAACATCTCTCAACAACTTGAGCTATTGATACTAAACGGTTCTTGACAAAGAACATCATTCAAAAGAGAATGATTAATCTAAATCATGATCACAGAGAATGATATTCTTGATAATTTCGACTATTAATGTATTTTAATTTATAAAAATTGTCCAAATATAAGATTATATTATGAATGATTTAAAAAATTCAACAAAATTTATTTTATCATACGTATTTTTTGGGTAATGTCTTTTTTTTATCCAAACCTTTTCAGATTCTTTTATATTATCCAAACCTATTAAAATGTAATTAATTAGTCAAATCTTTCGTAATGCATCAAAATATTAGTCATTTTTACGTTATCGTTAACAATTTTGTAACTCTTTTCTTAGTTAAAATACTAAAATTTTGGAATGTTGAACTTTATATATTTTGATATTATTGAATTTCATAATTTTAAGCAATCTGATATCATATTATTAATAATAATACTAAGATTCGTTAGAACATTCCAACAAAAATGGCATTGTCTAAATTCTAAAAATATCTTAAAATAAAAAAATTCTCTAGAAAATAAATCTAGAATATAAATTGAATAGATGGTTATATAGAAATAGAAAAAAATATACAATACAAGTTTATAC